AAATATATATATATATATATATATATATATATATATATGCCAATATATTGTTTTGCATGACTTCATTTAATTTACATCTGCTCAAAGCACTTGGCGTGGAAATTGTGCAGTTAAAACTACCATCCTAAACCATGATGTCACAGTGATTTGAACTAATTTTGGGTTACTGAGAGCAAGTGGCAGTGCCAATGGACAGTCACTATAGCAACAGTGTCCCACTCCTGGCACAAACAGATACACTTATTTATAGAGCTTCAAAGTACACAAAGCTGTAGTTATGTATGTATATGTGACAGATATGAAATACACACCTAACTTGCAATTATTTCTACAAGCAATTCTTATTCATATGAGACCACCCAATGGGAAACTTAGCAGATACAAAAAACAACTACATCAATAGGGTGCTTGTTAGGGTGTAACAAAATAGCTGTTTAAAGAAAAATGAGGAAGAGTTTGCATGTAAGAACAAAAGAGAGTGAATAAAACAGAAAAAGTGAGAGGGAGATGCAATATGAGGAGATATATTCTATACTGTAATTAGGCTTCAGATGGGTTGTGAATTGACTGTCTGAGATTGTCTTTGTAAGCACCCACTCAGTTTCTGCCCTATATGACCACTGGGATTATAGAGTACAAGCCTGAAGCATTAACGATCCATTTTACTCATGTGACATATTTCAGAGTGAAACAGAATATTTGATAAGAAAAGCGGGACTTAATAGTATCAATTGGGAATGAACTGCATCATGATAAGTGGCCAGAATCACACCAGAATTCGTTTTGTGGCTTTATTTCTATGTCATTTCACTTTGAGACCATCTAGGTTTTATGCCAGTGCACTCTTAAAAGTTGACAATTTTTTTTAGCAGAAATACACAAGCAGGGCTCAACGCTTTCTTTTCTTTTTAGGAGCACTTGTACTCCTAATTTAAAAAATTTAGGAGCACAGTCGAAAAATTCAGGAGCACCTTTTGATCAGTAACAAAAATTAGCCTTCCCATTACGAGGTGATATCTGACTCCTTAAAGTGATTTACAGGGGGATTTTTTTTACCTTTGTAATTACATATTTTCTAACTTTATTAAAAGTATGTCATCTTTTATGTCAAATTCAAAAATGTTATAAGCTTTTTAAAAATGTATAATTAAAGCAATAGAATAAGAAGAAGTAGAATATGAAAAAGTTAGCAATCAAATGAAATCAGCATTAACAAAATTCATTTGCACTACAGAGGTGGCACAAAAGAACACAAAAGTGGCATGTAGGTATATTTCCAGACGTTTAATGAGGCTCAGAGGTGGCATGAGTGCAATTAAATTAATAAATTCATGTTGAGATTAATGTTTTAAATATAAGATTTTGAATATAGAAATATGAAATGATTTAAATAACTGAAATTATATTTTAAAAATTAAACTAAAACTGCCAGTTGGGGGTGGCAAGTCACTGATTTTATCACTGAATCATTCATTCAATTGATTCATTCGAGCTGCTGATTCATTCAGGAATGAAGCAAGTGACTGTCTTTATGAATGGGTAATTGAATCATTGACTCGCTAGATTCGATTAAAAACGCTCGTTCATTCATAAATGAAACACCGCTGTGTTTGCTTGGAGATGTGTAGTGGTTCAGCTAACTATTGTTTGAAACTATTTTCATTGACGAAATAGAGCAAAATCAGACAATAGTGTTTAGTCAGACAATGACTTAGTAGTGTGTAGTCAGACAATGTAAGTCACTTATTATTTTGTTATTTTAATGTTGTATTAAATCAATATCATATTTGCAAACTCTGTTAATAATCATTAAAAGCTGATTATTAATAATTATTAAATTATTAAGTTGCAGTGAACTCACTTAGCTCACTGCAATCTCACAAAGTTCCTTTATAGTCAACGAAGCTCCCTACACTGCAGAGTGAATCTCTTATTTACATTATGTCTACACTTTGTTATAATGAGAGGATTCGTGAGCTTCCTGAACAAAACGTTGTTGAGTGAGTGGATTCTGATTAACATTAATTGCGTTCAAGGAGTCAAGAGATATGTCTGTGATACTACATTACTCAACGCTGCAAAAACACGTTGTGAGTAGAAACCTTTGAAGCTCCCCTGAGCTCAAACACAAATATGCTGATCGGGTCAGTCGCACTGGTGCTCCTAAATATATTTTCATAGTCACACGCAGTAGTTTTCAGTCACAAATGCGACTGAAATGGTCGCACTGGAGAGCCATAAGTTAAATTTGAAGTCTGTCTCTTCTAAGAAAATGGATCAAAAATCAAAATAATGATGACTCATCCTGTACTGCAGATTTTTGTCCAATCAAATGTTCTCTAGAATGAGAATGTTCCTCCATCCACATCATTCATGGCTGTCATGTAACTAAAGTCTATTGGCTATTTTTAAAAAAACTGGATGAACCCTTCAATATATCCTGTACAAACCAGTGTTGTTTCTGTAAACAAAAAACCTTTTAGTTCATTTTTGTAATAAAGCTGGAAAAAATATATAAAAATTAGATTAAAAACTTAAATGAAAATTAGAAGGGTTGCCTTGTCCACTACCTGAAATAAATAAATAAAAAGTTGAAGCTGAAGTACTAAAATCACAAAAACTAAAATAGAAATAAAAATAAACTACAGCTAAACAGAAATACATTTTTTGAAACTAATAAAAAGTACGAAAACACAAAACAAAATGACTAAAACCTAAACCAAAATTAAAAACTAAAACATCTAACAAAATCCAAAAATAAAAGCTAATTAAAAAAAATTATAAATGCTATAATAGTATATCAATAACACTGGCTCAAACTTTTGATTTTAATATTTCAATCTTCAACTTTTTTTTCTGGTCTTGAAAAAAAGAAAAGAAAAGAAGGTTCATTTTGATTTCATGTGCACTTTAATCAATGTTAACAATATTATTAAGCCATCCATTCATTTACTTCCATCTATTAATGAATCTGTTCATTAAAGGACACCCAACAAATAGAAAAGATTTCTTCAAACCTCAAGTACTTTCCCAGTGATGTATTTCTTGCAGGTGTCACACTGGATGCCGAACATGGCATGGTAGTCTGCCTCACAGTAGGGGATCCCGTCCCTGCAGAACATCAACACACATGATGTATTTCACTTGAACTCAAGGATGGTGACATATCTCTGTATGCTCTCTGGTCTTGAGAATCCCCTGTTCTTTTATATTAGAGCAGTATGCTGATCGGGTCAGTCGCACTGGTGCTCCTAAATATATTTTCATAGTCACACGCAGTAGTTTTCAGTCACAAATGCGACTGAAATGGTCGCACTGGAGAGCCATAAGTTAAATTTGAAGTCTGTCTCTTCTAAGAAAATGGATCAAAAATCAAAATAATGATGACTCATCCTGTACTGCAGATTTTTGTCCAATCAAATGTTCTCTAGAATGAGAATGTTCCTCCATCCACATCATTCATGGCTGTCATGTAACTAAAGTCTATTGGCTATTTTTAAAAAAACTGGATGAACCCTTCAATATATCCTGTACAAACCAGTGTTGTTTCTGTAAACAAAAAACCTTTTAGTTCATTTTTGTAATAAAGCTGGAAAAAATATATAAAAATTAGATTAAAAACTTAAATGAAAATTAGAAGGGTTGCCTTGTCCACTACCTGAAATAAATAAATAAAAAGTTGAAGCTGAAGTACTAAAATCACAAAAACTAAAATAGAAATAAAAATAAACTACAGCTAAACAGAAATACATTTTTTGAAACTAATAAAAAGTACGAAAACACAAAACAAAATGACTAAAACCTAAACCAAAATTAAAAACTAAAACATCTAACAAAATCCAAAAATAAAAGCTAATTAAAAAAAATTATAAATGCTATAATAGTATATCAATAACACTGGCTCAAACTTTTGATTTTAATATTTCAATCTTCAACTTTTTTTTCTGGTCTTGAAAAAAAGAAAAGAAAAGAAGGTTCATTTTGATTTCATGTGCACTTTAATCAATGTTAACAATATTATTAAGCCATCCATTCATTTACTTCCATCTATTAATGAATCTGTTCATTAAAGGACACCCAACAAATAGAAAAGATTTCTTCAAACCTCAAGTACTTTCCCAGTGATGTATTTCTTGCAGGTGTCACACTGGATGCCGAACATGGCATGGTAGTCTGCCTCACAGTAGGGGATCCCGTCCCTGCAGAACATCAACACACATGATGTATTTCACTTGAACTCAAGGATGGTGACATATCTCTGTATGCTCTCTGGTCTTGAGAATCCCCTGTTCTTTTATATTAGAGCAGATCAATAACGTTGAGTCATTCTACAGGGTTCAGCAGGCTTGCAGATTACCATATCACATTACTACGATCGATAAAGCACACACAATCACCCATCTACACATTCACATGCAGAGAAGAGTAAGAGTGGGACTAACATGCTGATATATTCTGCATTTAGCACTTTATTGCACACTTTGCACTTGAAGCAGCCAAGATGCCAGTGCTTGTCCAACGCCACCAGAGACTGCTCATTTTTAAACTCCTTTCCACAGCCACAGCAATCTGCAGAGAGAGCGAAAACAAAAGTGTAGTGTTTTACTAATGAAATGGCAGGGAAAGCTGTCATTGCAGACATTTAGGAAATTAATGAGTGAGTGAGTGAGTGACTGAGTGAGTGAGTGTGTGCGTGTAAGAGAAAGAGGCTAACATAGAATGGAATAGATTGCAATGCAGAAACACAGAGTACTTACTGTGCACAGCCTGTGGGGGTGCCATGCTGTTGACTGGCTGAGTGCATTTCTCACAAACACACTCCTTCCCATTAAACGTCACGCGGCCCCCAGCTGGAAACGGCTGCCTGCCAGAAACACACACACACACACAGTCACCTCATCATTCACTAAAGTTATAAAGTCACTTTCACATAAGGATGAACTTTAAACTAGTTTCTCAAACCATTTTCAATTAGGCTCAGATGCAGGGGCACTACATTATGAAAAACTCACAAAAGGGTGACAAAGCTAAACATTTGAGCATATTTGCAGTTGGCAAACATTGTAAGATGATTACTGCTTTGTTAATCTTTTAAAGGGGTCATATGATGCGATTTCATTTTTTCCTTTCTCTTTAGAGTGTTACAAGCTCTTGGTGCATAAAGAAGATCTGTAAAGTTGCAAAGACTAAAGTCTCAAATCCAAAGAGATATTCTTTATAAAAGTTAAGAGTTAGCCACACCTACCTAAAACGGCTCGTTCGAACACGCCCCCACATACAGTGGGGCAAAAAAGTATTTAGTCAGCCACCAATTGTGCAAGTTCTCCCACTTAAAAAGATGAGAGAGGCCTGTAATTTTCATCATAGGTATACCTCAACTATGAGAGACAAAATGAGAAAAAAAAATCCAGAAAATCACATTGTAGGATTTTTAAAGAATT